ATTTAGGCTTTTACAGAAGATGCTAAAGGTGGTGTTGGACTTTGAGATGATTTCTAGACATAAACCTCATTAGTGATTGAAGCATGACATACTATTTGTAAAATTTAAAGACTGTATTTACAGCTTCATTATAAGTCACCTTTTACATTGTCACAGTTACATTGTCACTGAAAGCCAGATATTTATATATCGGGTGTACAAATGGTTAAGATCTCCACTTTCTAACCTGTTCTTTACCAATAGTGTGGTATTAAATCAAAGATTCTGTTGTCTTCTGAATTTATTGTTCGCAAACATTTTCTTAAACATATGATACTAACACATGTTTGTGATAATGAAGGACCCGCGGTCCTATGCTCACACAGTTTGGAACCTTCAGAGGAATGTATATAATGACTTTCAAACAAAAATATTGATTTGGATTTGTAGTCTCGAACTTTGAGAAACTTAGATAGCACAGTTGTGTGACCTAGTTTGATGACCTTTGACCTTGAAAATTTTACTAATTCAGAGCTCAGTAAGGTCTTTTGTGATTAAGCTGACCAAAATTTACATCCAAAAATCAATTTGAAAAATCAATTTTTTGACCTTTCGAAGGTCACTGAAGGTCAAGTAAAGGTCAAATCCTAAAACTAATGTCAGATTTGAACTCCTGGCAACTTGTAGTTGATTTACAAAAAAGATTTGGTCAAATTGAAGCAAGTTGAAAAATAACTTATTTTTTACTTTTTTTTGACATCAAATATCTCAAAAACGGTAAAGATTTGATGCTGACATATATTTAGCCATTATGTCCCTATCATTGAATATATGCCTGAGGTCTGACGTCAATATAGCCCGAGCTTGCGAGGGTTATATTTACGACAGACCAAAGGCATATATTCAATGATACGGACATAATTGTTGTATTACATACCTTAAGTACAATTTACATTACATTTCATGAATATAATATGTATGGAAATGCGTGAAAAAAAGACAAAAAATGCTTTGTTTTCATGTTATATCAATGACGTCACACGTCTGTGTGCGATTGGAATATGTAAGAAATGAAACGTGACATCATACAATTGTCATGGTAAAAAGTTTGGCGGCTATACAGAAATATATAGCCGTCCTTCAGCTCCATTGACTTCCATACAAATGCTTCGCTAGGTATGTAATACTGAGCAATATGTAGGGAATGCTTAAATCTAGTAATGATGTAATTCATTGCAAGAAATGATCAAGAGTAAGGCAAACTTTGAGAAACTTGTCAATCACAAAACTTGCCATTGACTTTATACATGAGAAAGTTTCTTGAAAATGACAAGTCCTACTTTTTGTCAAATTTTATAGAGTAAACACCAAAAACTGTAATTCCAAGAGCTTTGAAATCTTCAGAGGACATAAGTTGCATATACAGCAACTACTACAAGTTATTTGAAAGTTCTACTTCAACAAAGTGTCTAGTATTTACAGAAAATTTGACTTTTGACATCAAAATCAGCAATTTCTCGGAAACCGGGCAAACTTGGGAAATAGCGATGATAGGTCAAATAGGCATTATGGATATGCATAAAATGAATGTGGATATGACTCAATCCGAATAGCAGTTTTAATTTGTGCGGCCAATGTTGATGGATGGACGGACGGACCACCGGTCGGACGGACGGACCAACGGACGCCTGGTCGATCACATAGGCTCACTGTGTGAGCCAAAAATGATGTGGGAATTTTGCCTTAAAAGCATGAAACAACAGACGTACGTACGTACGTACAGACAGACAGATGGATGGAGGCGTTCCCTATATCCCTCTGAACTAATGGGATAATTAAAATCATACTTTTGAGGTTCCAACATTTTGTTACCGAAACAAATCGGTAACCAGTATAATTGAGTGGATCACCAGTATATACTTGAATTACTCAGCCTACATTAATTGAATAAAAGTATTTGCTTCTTATTTTATTAATCACTAAAAGAATGAGATAATATAAGTGACATCACATTTATCAATTAAAGACAATTGATTTTATGTTGACAGTTATGTTTGTATGGTGTACAATGTATATATATCTTTTATTGACTTTGAAACATGTCAGTTTATCCGACATATGGGTCACAATACAGTTTTTACATGTTTTTTTTTGTTCCTGTTTGACACTAGTGCTCACATATGTGCTCACATAAATGTGATAATACAATAAATGTGTATAATACAATAAATGTGTATAATACAATAAATGTGATAATACAATAAATGTGTATAATAACATCAAAAAGGACCATAATGACACAGTGTGTTTCCTTCTTCAGATTTCTAATTTGATTTATACTCTTCAATACCATTAGACTTTTAAATCATTGGTTAATTGCAACGTCACTATTAAAGAAAGAAAGGGCAAAACATTCATTTTATATGTAAATGATATTTCAACATTTTGTTACTGAACTACAAATTCACAAATAGACCTAGCAACAGCACTACTGTATATGTAGCTAGGGAATCAACCTACCAATTACGTCAAGAATTTAATCTGATACAGTGCCTGATAAAAACTGTAGGATTACAATATATTTTATTGGCGCACAAATCAAGAGTGCCACTAATCCCACACATCTGTGGCTCTATGACATATTCAAACTAAATCATTAATCAATCTATAAGCAAATCAACAATGTCAGTAAATCAAAACTCTCCCACTTCTGGTCCAAACCCACTATATACTATAAAACGTGGTTCCAGATGAGATGATACTCCAAATTTCCACTGTTTAGAGGAACATGAGGTAACTATCCATGTCAGGCATCAGTCTAAAGTTTTTATTTGCCTAATCAGTTGACCAGTATTTGAGTTATCACCCAGATGGACAAATGAATGGATGGACAAATAGACAGACAACTTCTCTATACTATTACTCATATTTCATTTGGTGGGAGTAATTAAAAATAGATCTATATTTGGATGAATAAAAAATATTTGATCTCATCAATTCTACATTTAATTGCAATCATTCAATGCCTATAATCTCTTTTCACCAATTATCCATGATCTAATAAAATAGATCCTTTGAAGCCTGATAAAAATCATTTGCACAGCTTCATCGTGACATTCAAGTAAACAGGATCAAGAACAATGTCCGCAAAATGCTATCTATCCGGTACTGGTACAATCAAAACAAGTCGATCCTCCGTGTTTTTAACTTTTTATAGTGGATTTATAGCTCTTTATAGACTTCCCTGGCAACATTGCAATTCCATCAATATTTATCTTGATCTAGATGGTTACAGTTGTTCTAACCTCAGTTTATGTCAGAAAGTCAAATATGTCGATAACGGGGATATTGGCCAAACAGAAAATTGAATATAAAACAACATAAACGTTATCTTGTATCTGAGATATATCTGGAGGAGAAAGAATAATTTACTATATCAAATATGGTCAGTGATCTCCCCAGCATTAAAGCAAGTGGGTGTAGCACCTACCTGAGATTTTGAAAGTAGGCTTGCACCCACTTGAGAATCCATTTGCACCCGCTTGAAAATGAGAAAATCATGAAAATACATGTAGGTAAATTGTGACCAATTTTGGTCTGAATTGTGAAAATGATAAATTTGCACCCACTTGAGAGAAAATCCTGTGAAGAGCACTGATGGCCAATTAAATACGTAATTTGTAAAATCATTTCTCATTTCAAGGTTTCTTTAAACCTGTAACAATTTGGGATCAAAGGACAATTTTATGGATATTACCAAATGAAACTAAAATTAGCCAATAGCAAAACAAATCTCAAGTAACAGACACGTTCATGTAAATCAGCCATCTTTAAAATGGTTGTATTATTAAGCACTTCATCAAAACAATAATGTGCCACAGAAGCCACATAAGGCAACATTAAATCAGCAACATGAAGGACAGAATCCCTTCATTGTGAAACATTCATAAAACCTCAATATATCAGTTATGTGGCAACAACAAAACAATACAGGGTGTACCGAAAGTATGGGACCCCTTTATGCAGACATGTATCATTGTCTCCATGGTATGCAGACCCGTAGCCAGGATTTGCTAAGGGGGGGTTCAGTTTCCAAAAATTTCCAGGGGGGGTTGACATTTGACAATTTTTGCCCAAATATGGCTAAAATCACTTGAGAAGTGCTCAAAATGGTGAAAAACTGCATGATTTTGAAAGAATTTTTGGCCAGGGGGGGGGGGTGAACCCTGCGAACCCCCTGGCTACGGGCCTGGTATGTGTCAGATATAATTTATACATATAAACATGTAATGACACTAAAAAACAACAAAAAGACTGCAACAGAATCAACATACTGCCTTTTTTCTTATTTTACTTCGCAATCAAATCTGAGAAAGATAATCAATATTTCAAGATTGAAAACAGGATCTGTAAAGGACAATCCCTCTCTTAAAGTAATTAACCAGAAAGTGACCATAGATCACAAGAAGTCCATTAATAATTCAGATCAATTCACATCAATTAACTCTCGAGGTACATTTTAACTGGGGCCTGTTTCTTAAAATAGCACATATCACAATTGCTGTTGTTTCAAAAGTATATTTAACTTGAGTCTATTTCAAAAAATAGTATTTTCAATAGTAACTAAAAGGCCTGTTTGTGAAAATAACAGTTATTACCATTCCAGCATGGTTTTCAAGAGTACATGTATACTGTATTTAACAGGGGTCTGTTTCTTAAAATATCAAAAATCATAATTCCTGATTTTCAATAACGTATGACTATAACTCTAACAAAAACAAGTTTAATTCATTTTTATGCATTATAATTCACAATATTTATGATAAACATTAGACATATTTATGATAAAAATTAGACATATTTATGATAAAAATTAGACATATTTATGATGAACACCACAATTTATAGCTAAATAAAACATTCATAAATTGTATAGTAAAAAGCATGCATGTTCAGTTGTCATTCATATATTGAACTGAGATCACATTATTTATCTAAAATCAGATGATTTTATTTTATAGGAAAGCTGTGTGGAAATACAGTATGTCAGCAGTGAGGCCATTAAAGAGAATGGATACATTTTCATAAATGGAATTCTCAGGCATAAAAAATACTAAAACAATGGTAATCAATTGATCCATTCTGTCCATCTTAGTGATATTCCCAGCCTATTTCTTTACAATTTTCTTAATCTTGAAATATTCCTTTCTGAAACACAAAGAATGCAAAAATGTTCCATTTTCTAATAAGTTGTCCCGCACAGAAATTACTGTAACATCTTCATTTTTAAGGTTGGCAGGTATGCCGTGCAGCTTTCTATTTAAGATAAAGTTTATGATATATCTATTGTATTTAAGATAATGTTTATGATATATTTATTGAATTTAAGATAATGTTTATGATATATCGATTGTATTTAAGATAATGTCTGTGATATATTTATTGTATTTAAGATAATGTTTATGATATATCTATTGTATTTAAGATAATGTCTGTGATATATTTATTGTATTTAAGATAATGTGTATGATATATTTATTGTATTTAAGATAATGTTTATGATATATTTATTGTATTTAAGATAATGTTTATATGATATATCTATTGTATTTAAGATAATGTCTGTGATATATTTATTGTATTTAAGATAATGTTTATGATATATCTATTGTATTTAACATAATGTTTGTGATATATCTACTGTAGTTAAGATAATGTCTGTGATATATTTATTGTATTTAAGATAATGTTTATGAAATATCTATTGTATTTAAGATAATGTTTGTGATACATTTATTGTATTTAAGATAATGTTCATGATATATTAATTATATTGCAGCATTTTGTACCAAATCATATTGCATTTTATGATGTTGAATAACATTTTATTATGTTATAAAGTTATATCATTGTATCATAACACTTTGCATCATATTATAATACATGCATGTGCAACTTACCCCAGGTGTCCCTTGAATAAAATTATGCTTCGCGAATCCACAAATCTACTTCAAAATTTCCTTGGGGACAAAACTAAGATAGTTAACATAAACAGCCATATGTGATGTTGGAGGAAAGAATTATTCAGCAGAATAAATGGATTCATTCATAATTCCTACTCCTTATCACTTCAATGAAAATGAAAAAATATGCCATTTGTTACAGATCCAGAACACCAAACACCAACTGCCAAACACCAACCACCAAACATCAATGGCCACAACAAAAGTTTGGAAACTATAACAACATGTCATCACTTCACGTTGTAACATAAAAACTGTAGGGAATTCTTATTTCAGGCTAGCTTAAAGTTTACTATAATGGATCATTTATCATTGAAATATGGATGCTCTCTAATGAATGAAATAAGGTAATAGCTTATATTCATGATGGACTGATTCAGAATTCATTGGCTGCAATCCTGAATGTCAATCAATTCATCTATTGGATTCTTAATTATGGAACAAATTACAATAAAGTTAGTAGCATCGATTTAGATATAGAAAAAATGGAATTTTCCTCTTAACTATATTCAAATGAATTTTATTGCATTTAGTGATAGAAACCCATTAACCATAAAAAATCGTTGATATGTTAAAGGAAACATATTTTTCACTTATCTGATGAAAAAATAAGGAGATTATGCATTCAAAAACCTACATCTCATAGGTAGGTATGGGGGAGGGGGTTCTATAAAAGAATGGAGCTCAAATGGCTTATATAAAACAGGGAGCTCAACATATGTGGCTCAAACAGCAAATAATTTTTTTTAAACTCCAAAAGTAGCAAATCCCATCCAACACAATATTAATTTTCTCAAATTCAAATCATCCATCATAGTAATAATGCCATCCTAGAAAAATAGGCAGTAAAAGCAATATTGATGTTTTAGCAAACATACAATGATAATCTTTTATACACCTTATATTTATGAATATTCATAACTTTTTAATGACAGACACCAAGTCGATAGCAATATAATGACCTTGGCACTTTCTGTCACCCCACTTGTTAAATCCTGTATACATATGGGTATCTTGATACCCTACTCTTTCTGGCAACCAATTATGACATCCTGCAAGTATATGAATACATGTACTCTACACTTTCTGACATCAATTTATGACACCCTATCTTGTATATGAATACTCTACACTTTCTGACACCTATTTAGGACACCCTACAAGTATTTGGATACTCTTATTACACTTTCTGACACATATTTATGACATCCTGCAAGTATATAAATATCAGATATACTTTCTGATACCTATTTATGACATCCTACATGTATTTGGATACTCTTTACAATATTACCCATTTATGACACCCTACAAGTATTTGGATACTCTACACATTCTGACACCTATTTATGACACCTTACAAGTATTTGGATACTCTTTATACTTTGTGACACCTATTTATGACACCCTACAAGTATATGAACACTCTACACTTTCTGACATCAATTTATCACACCCTATTTTGTATATGAATACTCTACACTTTCTGACACCTATTTAGGACACCCTACAAGTATTTGGATACTCTATATACTTTCAGACACACTGTAAATACCAATGATCTTAGCACTTTCCCAGACATACTTACTGTTCATGTCAATGATTTCAACATTTTTTGAAACCCTGTAAATCTCTATGATCCCTGAACTACTACTCCATCAAATGTGCCAAGTACAGGTTCTCGACACATCGTTCAATTACCATCAATCATCCTCACTTGAAGGTTTCTAAATTGGTATCCCAAAATCCAATTTATGTTCAAAGAAAATTTTTTAATGGCAATTCACTTTTAATATCGTAATGTAACATATTGGATGGTGATGTCACAATGTCAACGATTCTCAAAACCATTTTGAATAGTTTTATCTGGGTTCATGAAATGAGAGTTTAATATTTGCTTAGGTACAGTGTCAATAGACCTCATCTACTTAGTTGCTTTCTTCATGAAAATAGTGAAAATAGCATCATTTTCAGTCTTCCTAAATTAATCACTCATACAGAGGTTTGGGTTCCTCTTGTCATATTTCACAGTTGTGATAAAGGGCATTTTGGATGGCTTATAAGTAAAGCACTCTTCTGGTCAGACCAACTGTTAGAGAGGCAACGGGATATGAATACAAGGGCTTGATACAAGACTACAAGCCAATCTTTAACAGTATACCATATGGTACTGCAAAATGTGTTACAGTATGGTATAAATGTAGACCAAAACAGTATCAAACGATACCATGAACACTACGGCACCATTATGGTACAATGTACCATATGGTACCGTTATTTCAGCATCCGGATTGGGAGTGTACAAAAGTTAATCATGGTGTGGTACACACATATTATAGTCTTTTTTAATTAAATAAAGAGTTACTCTGGTAAATCAGAATGACCGCATTGTTCATTTTTTTTGTTCATACAAGGGGGCCTTGTATAACATCAATATAGATGCAGTAGTAGTGAGTAGCTCCCCTAATTCTTTCATATTCTATCGTATTCGGGGATTCCCCATTATATGATGTCCAATCAAAATGCAGGATGTGATCATGTGAACAATTATGAGCATGTGCTCTCTCAGTGCCGGGCATACGCAAAGTAAAATTTGAAATCTTGGAAATGGCGTTAACATCAGTTCAACATCATCATTTCAAAACTATGGTAATACCATTGGAGTTACTCGATCCAAACTTGTAGAGAATACTCATAAAACAACAGCGAACATTGAGAGATTCATTTCAATGGCAAATGAGGCCTATTTATAAAATTTATTATCGAACGTGCCGATACAAAAGGTCATATTTGGGAAATCTTCCCCTCCTGATATGGATGGATGAACTTCCTCAAATGTACACCTTGAATCTGCAAAAGGTTAAGGTTGAAGTATCATTACTTTCAAAGTGATTTATATATGTAAGAATTATAGTTTCATAAATAGCTTAAATATCAGATTTCTCCTTGGGACACAAATGGAGATAACCATCAAACAAACACAATATAGAATCTAAAGCCTGACATATAACTCCTCCATCTGACCTCAAGAAATTATCATTAAATCCTCTTTGTGATTGAGAACAAATTCAGGCTTTCTGAACTTAATCCTCATTTGTCTAACTTAAACAAGTATATAACAAGACCTTAATCTGAGTTGGAGTGCTCCGACCCAAACGAAAAACAAATTTTTATCAAAACATGATGTTTCCATGGAAACCTCCTCTATTAATAAAAAATTATATTAAAGATTTAGAAGATTAATGTCTTGTTTTTCTTCCTTTGACTATCTATAGATATACATTATCTATATTATGACTTTTCAGCTTGGAATTCAACTAAATCCGTTTTTTCTGATAGACTATATCTACCCAAAGTTATATAAACCTTTCGAAGTTTTCTCATGTGGTTGTGAATTAATTTTCTGTTTTTAAGGATTATTCAGCTTATTCTTTAAATTGGAAATGGCAAAAGCATTTCAAAACTTAAAATTCTTTGGGTCCCAAGGCATGAATATCTAAAAGTAGGTTATTTGGCATATTTCATACGCAAACTTGTATTAGGCAAAAAATATGTGGTCACTGGTGAAAATATGCACTATTGGGATAAGGGCCTCGGAAAATAATTTATGGCCTTTTTGGGCATTACTGGGGCTTTTTGGGCCTTGTTTTATCATTTTAGGCCAAATTATTAAGATTTTTTTTGATTTTTAGACCCGCCCCTCATATAGGATACTGTTTTAAAGGAATTTCTGTTATTATATGAGCATGAGAGATGGACAAATATAACCTGCAGTTCAGAATTTTCCATTAATCTCTTACTATAATACCATTACCAGGACAAATGTCACAAAGTTAATGGGATACCATTTTTCAACCTTATTTCATAAGAAGCTGGAAGATTTATCCATAAATACATTTTTCAGATGGCTTCACTGTGTTGTAACTTGTTGAAAGGAGGAGAGATATTAGAAAAGCAGAATCTAAAGGATTCAATCATCACAGTAAAAATGCAAAGTAATTCATTTCAATTAATCTGACTGCATTCTAAAAAAATTCTGTAAAATATTTTCCTTTTAGAAAATTTCTATTCACATATTCAGCTGTATTAAACGAATTGAAACATAAATTCATAACGTTAATTGGATAATACTAAGAATATGTGAAATAATCAAATTCTCTGAATCAAATCAAGGCATATTAAGGTGTCTATGTCACCATGATCTGTATTATTCACCTAAGAAGCATTAATTCCTCAATTCGTTGTAATTACAGTCAATCCGCAATGGTACCATATGGTTTGATCTAACAACAGTAACATACAGCACAATTACTCAAACAGTATCAAAATATAAGGTATATTTGGAGTATGATACTGTGATTTAGGAGCATGGTTTAGGGGTGAAGGCCTAACGTATACCTCAGAAAAATTAGCTTGATTTATGCATCTGATAAACACATTCTGTTTCAAAATGTGTACCCTTATCTTGATTGGTGTTAATAACAGGTAGAATATTTTGGTCTTTGATTAAAGTGCTACTCAGGTATAATATGTTAGATTTTTTCATCATTAGTGAAGGTCTTACATGTTTTGGGGCTGTAAGTACTACTGTCAAGGCTATTGACCTCAAATACTACCAAAATTGTATTTGGAGATTAAACATAAAGATTTCAGAGGGAATTCTTGGAGAAACAATTAAAGTTCCCATTTCCACTTATATTAACTGAAACAACTTACTTTTGAGCAACTGATTTTCATTGGCCTCTGGAAGCATATCTTCAGAAACTTCTAATTTCAAGTTTCCTGCTTGGACTTTCGGAAAATACTATGATGAGGCCATTGAATCGTCAATAGATTGATTAAGGTGGTATTGTCTTAAATTGAATTAGATAACATACCCATTATAAACCATTGAAAGGTATTATGATTAACTAATTTGGACAGGCAGTACATTGTCTCATGATTTTACTAAAGTCAATGTTTGAGGAAGTATTCTTTCTCTACATGTACAAAATAATTGGCAAATATGTATATAACTATACTACTTGCTGGTTACAAGCTTTTTATATAGCAACAATCATCTTATGATGAAGAATTCTAAACATGGCATTGAATGCCTTTCCTTATATCTAAGCTTCTGTCATCTGATTCTCTGGTATTTCTCTAAATATTTGCAATGTTACTTATGTACAACTAATTGTTA